CTGAGATGACAATTTTAGCCAACAAAATTGACCCAAAAAGGGGAAGGGATAAGAAGGGAGTATGAGTAACTTGCTTCTATAGATGTTTTCTGTTTAAAAAAAAAAAAATGCATACAAAAGTAAACCCAAACAGTCTTGTGTCCTTATTGAGTATATAATAACAATATCACCACAAACTGTATGGGTTTACTGGGTGTTTGGTAAGCAGTCTCAATTATAATGGTTTGAGAGTGTTGCTTGAAAAAATATTTACCATATATAAAGTGTATTAATATTTCAAATTACTTCTTGGGTTGTGTTAAACTGTTTTCTTCTTCTGTTTTTCAGGAAACAGTTTCCATGTTACACACAGCAGATACTTACAGAGCATTGTAATGAAGTATGGTTCTGTAAATTCTCCAATGATGGCACTAAACTAGCAACAGGATCAAAGGACACCACTGTTATTATATGGCAGGTTGATCCAGTAAGTGTGCATGTTTTATGTTAAATGTATGTTGGCGTGTGTGTGTGCTGGGCAAGAATCACTCCATCCCCTGGTACAGCTGGCTTGCTTTGTTGAAACTTATTAAATTGGACCAGAGAAAGCAGTTTAATAACGCAGCAGTTCATGGTACTCATGTGGAAAATGAAATTCAAGTTCTTCTTATGCAGTAGACATAGCAGGGTCTTAAACATAGCCTCTTGCTTTCTGAGTGAGTGCTATAATTGCTGGGCTGTTAGCTGTTTTGTGATGGGAGAAATTCTGTCTTGAGCTGTAGGGATCTTGCCAAATACAAGTGGGGTTTTTGTGTTGTTTCAATAAACTGACGCTTTTTGACAGAGGTTTCATCTGAAATACGGAAATAAGGTAATAAAACCTTGGAGAATAAAGTTCCAGTAGCACTCTGCTGGACCAGTTGTTAATATAGTTGCAATTACTGTATAATTCATCCTTAATGTGACTTGTTCTACTTGAGACAGATTTAGAAGGCTTGAGATCAGTATGATCAATAATACAGAGAGATTACTGAATTATTTGGATCAAATGTCCATCCATATCTAATGGTGTAGACAAACTAGTGTTAGAAACAGATGAGAAATATTTTAAAGACTTAATTCTCCATCAAGTGTTATTCACATATACATTGTCACTGTTGGTGTACATGTGCCTCTTTGTACTTGAGCTTGGAGGCTTTGTTCTAGTAGCTGGTATCCATACAGCACATGTTGGAAGCAAGGACAAAGAGGACAGTGCATGCTCCTCCGTTCCTCTTACCTATCTTGCTTCTAGAGTCTGCCCAGACTGCATCTGGTCTTCATTCCTTTTGAAGAGCTTTCTTTTAACTTCTACATCTTTTTATCCTCTTGTATCCATCTTCAAGAGTGTTCCTTGCTCCTTCTCATAAGATTTGCTGCCTTGCATCTTTGGTTTGTTCCACATGAGACTTCGTTTTCTTCATAGTGTCAACCAGGCCTCTACTGTATCTTTTTTTTCCTTTCTACTGTATTTCAAGTAACTAAAAAAAAAAACTGAAGAAAAACATGATTTTTTTTTTTGTAGTAGTAATTTGACTGTGTCCTTCAGAACTCAGTTGAATTGCAGTTGACATGGGTATTGTGGGAGTAAAAGCCAGGAAACCTAAAATTCTAGTCTTGGTCTTGTATTCACGTTGGGGCCCTCAGCAAGGCAACTTGCTCCGTGTTGCAACGTGTAGAGCAATGCTTGCTTGCTTGCTTGCTTGCTTGATTAGACTTTAAAGACTGGTTCTAATGTCACTCTGCAAAAAATTGCAGAAATTTATTGTATAAACTATAGTCTGCTTTATGGGCAGCAATCTGCCCTTTCATTGTGTTGAATTCTTAACGGTTGAGTTTCACATGCAAAGCAATGGAAAAATAAAACGGTATTCTTCAGGGAGATTTACTGGTCCTTTTCTTCAAACGAGTTTTACTGTGTGCTTCAGCATGTAATTAAGATTTTATTTTATTTTTCACAAAAAATTGTGAAGATAAGTCCTGCAGTGTTGAACTTAGTGTAAGTGTTTTACTCGAGGACTTAAAAGTTCTTGAAGAAGATTTTGCTGATCCTTTTCTTCATGTGAGATTCCCCCTACCCCCCTGCCTTAAGGATGGATTTAGCAGTATAATAAGTGCTGATTTAAAAATCAGAACTGTTAAGCTTATTTTTCTTTTAAAAATGTGGTTTGCCCTCTTAAAGGGTCAGACCTTGAAGCCTGGACCAAATATGTCTTTTCTGTATAAAGCCAGCAGGATTTACCCTGAGTTGTTTTTAACATTTGTTCAAATCATTGTGGTAAATGTTGATTGTAAGTGTTTTAGTTGATATGCTGTTTCAGGATACACACCAGCTAAAACTACTTAAGACATTAGAAGGCCATGCGTATGGTGTTTCTTACATTGCTTGGAGTCCAGATGACAACTACCTTGTTGCCTGTGGCCCAGACGACTGCTCTGAGCTTTGGCTCTGGAATGTACAAGTAAGTAATGATGAATAACCAATAAAAGACTTCATATTTTAAGCAATCTTTTTGTTATGCATAATAATTCTGAGACAATGAGCAGATTTGTTCTTTATATGTGAATATGAAACAACTGGATTTATTTTACTAAATAAATTTTAGTAAATAGCCTGAAAATGGACGGATAAATGAGTGATATTAACCAAATATAGATTTTTTTTTAATTTTTTTTTATTTATTTTTTTTTGTAAGGTGCTTATGCTAAGTATGAAAGGAACTAAACAAATGTGGAAAATCTTAGCTTGTACACAAATCATGTTCCTTTTTACTTTGCTCTTTTTACCAAGCTTACTGCTGCAAATGGCGATCTGTGTCCAAGAGAAGTTATGGTATCATACATTTCAACAGCATCTGGTTTGAAAACTACTGGGGAATAAATTCCTCTAGCTCTGTATATTTGTATCGCCTCCTTATTGGAGTGTGATGTGGTTTCTTTTGTTTATCTGTTTTGGTTTTTCTCCCTTCTTCCCCACCTCCCCTTGAAAAATTACATTCATTCTCTTTACTACTCTTAGTATTCATGTTGGAGTGTGCATATGGATTCTGCAATATGTAGTTCTTGAGGAACTGGACTATTTAACAAAGATGTAGTTGCAGCAAAAATACTTTGTCAGTTTGCAGGAGTGATATCAGTCCTGGCAGGCAGGGAATAAAAGGTTTACTACTTTTACTGCCCTGTTAATCAGAATTACTTGTAATGTTCCAGTGAGATTATGGGGTTTATGTAGTAAAAGCAAAAAAAAAACCCCCAAAAACAGTACTCTTGTTTACTCTGCCTGGTTTTGTTTTGAGGTATGGGAGACTATTGTTGCGGTCTCTGACCCGTGCTGAATATCTTTTGTGTGGTCAAAGAGGGAGATGCTTTTGATAACTATCTGAGACATTTCAAAGACTGATTTGAAGTGTTAGTGGTGTAAATCATGCAAGACAAGTAAGATGCATGCCTTGTTTTTGGAAAGTAAGGGGGGAAAGATTCTTCCATGGTCATGGGCGACTTGCCTGAGTGATAAACAGGGATCCTGGTTTTCCCTGATTTAAAAAATCTCTCATGGTCTGCTAAAACCCCCCCCAAATATGTCATAAAAATAAAAGGGCCATCACAGGCTGCACCTGTGCACGTGCACCGCAACCCCACCCCCTTGCTGTGGGCTTGGGGGGGGGTGGGGGCAGCTTCTGGCCACTGCGCACACTCCCAGATTTGTACCAGGGACAGGCGCTGGCTGTGGGCTCAGGCTCATGCCCTGTTTCACTCTCCCAGGGCCTCTGCAGGCATGACCCAGCACGGCAGGGAGTAGAGTAGCCATGTGGGGATCCCCTCGCCACTACTCCCCACCTGCTGCCCTGGTGACTCTTTTTTTTTTTAAACGTTTTATTAAAATAACCAGACTATAACAAAAGACTCAAAACGACCCCAAACAGAGGCCTCGCAAAAGGGTAATACAACATTTCAAATAACGTAATACAAAACATTCGAATTGATATCATATTGCACACCTCCTGCGCATGCCACTGCTTTGAGGGGCGCAGCCTCACGCTGCTGCCCTCATTGCAGCTCCATGCCCAGGAGGCGCATCGCCAGGGCAGCACAGGGTGAGCAGTGGTGGGGAGATCCACGTGTGGCTCCACTGCTGCCTGCCACGCCAGGTCGCACCCACCAGGCTGTGGGGGCCCCAAGGGAGAAAAGCAGGGTAGTAGAAAACAGCAGTGAGCAGCTTCTCTGTGCTCCCTGCTGCCCTGCTTCTCTCCCCTGGGGCCTCCCCAGCCTGGTGGGCACGACAGCACAGCAAGCAGTAGTGGAGCTACATGGGGATCTCCCCACTACTACTTGTCTGCACTGCCCTGGCAATTGTGCTTCCTGCACGCAGGGCTGCAGTGAAGGCAACAGCTCAGGGCTGCACCCCTCAAAGCGGCTTCCCCCAGCCCTGCCAGTGCCCCACTTACTCACTTTGGATCAGGCTCGCTTTTCTTCTGGGAGCCTGAGGCAAGAGCCTCAGGCCCTGCCTTTTCCCCTTCTCCCTCCCCATCTGGGCAGGGTTTCCCACCCTTTTTGCAATTAGCTCTTGCAGGCTGGAACTCAGCCAGCCTGCAGAGCTCTCTGCAAAAGAGGGAAATCCACTGTTTCTCTGCTAAAAGGTAAAATTGTGGGGGGGGTGTTCTGATTTAAAAGTGGGAAATCCGTTGTTGTCTCCGTCTTTCCATAGGGAACAGAAAACCCAGATCCCTGGTGATTAAAGTATCCAGGAAGCATAGCATGCTGGAAGATGTTCTTGCAGCCACACCCAGACCTTTCTGGTGTGCCAGGACAGCAACAAAGCTAGGCCCCAGAACTGAGGCGGGCAAGAATACAGCCCACGGGCCACCTGCCAACTGATTGCATCTGGTCCACGGGTGGGTGGCCACAAACTGTTGAGATCCAGCCCGCAGGCAGCTGGTGGCTCCAGCCACTGTATGGTGCTGGACAGACAGAGGTATTTCTGCCCAGTGCTGAAGCGGCGACATCAGCTGTGCACCTGGGTTGATGCCCTGATCCCCACCTGGAATCTGCCTGTTGCATCCACAGCTGAGACAAGTACCTGCCCAGGACTGCTTCCTGCATGCCAGCCAGGTGCTGGTGTAAGCTGCAGATGCAGCCAGCATGTTCTGGGGTGGGGTGGAGATTGGAGCTTGCTGCAGCACTGTGGGGGGGAGGAGAGGAGAGAGGTGTGGACCTCAATTTAGGGAGTTTTGCTGAGCTGTTGCGGTTGGGAGCAGGGGCTGACTTGGCCCATGACAGCTCACCAAAACTCCCTATGTGGCCCTCGGGCCCAAATAATTACCTACCCCTGCCTCGGAACCTTGTAAGAGCAGTAGCAAGACTGTTACTACTTTGGAGTAAATAGTTCTTTATATAAATTTCTATAAATAAATGTTTCCACACAAGAAGCCTCATCAAGATGTTGCGGACAGCATGTAACAGCTCACTTGACCTGAGCCAGCACGTTTGTTGCTTCAAACAAGCTGTAGTGCTCAACCAGTAGCTACTGCAAATTCCTTAGCTGAGAGAGGGTTAATGCTGGACTGCACCCCTTGTGCTTGTTGGACCAGAAAGAAGCAGGAGCCATTTGGGCAGCTATTAGGGAAAAACATCTCCATGCTTCTATTCCAGTAAAGAAAATTGAGCTTCCTTGCTTAAGATCCCAATTCTAGAAGGCTGGTTTCTTTCTTTCTTTCTTTTTTTTTGGGGTGGTGGGGTGGTGGTGGTGAGGGGGAAGAGGTGAGTGGGGAGCAAAGGTGTGTGATATGCAAGTAAATATGGTAGGTTTGGAAGTGTCAGGCATTGGGTATGGACTAAATCATATGTTTCTAACCAATGTGACTGTAGACCTAGCCTTTTATATCTAAATGGCCTGCATGGAGTCTACAAATAGCCTTCCATGTCATTGTTTTTGATATGTTCTTGTTTAAATCCTACTGGAGTACCAGTTCTTAAGACCAGTGAATGTACTGCAGTGTCAGTATTTATGTATTCTACTCTTGATATTTTGGAAACTAGGATAAGGGGATGAGAGTAAAGGCCTTCAGATAGAGTTATAGTAGTGGAGGGGAGAACAAAACTGAATGGTCTCTGAAAGAGAGAGAGAAACAAATGACAGAAGTGGCCTAAAATAGAGCAGATTGTCATTGCTTTTTATATCTGTAGAATTCTTGTATTAATTACTGTCTTTGCCTGAATCCAAGACTACTTTTTAACTTAAAATAACTCCTGAATAATTTAGATTCTATACATGGCAAAAAATTTTATAAAATTAGAACGTGTAGAATCTAATTTTTCCAGGGTCGTTTTAAAATTCATCCCTCCCACTGCTGTGATGGGGAAAGCAGCAGCAAGGAGGCAGGTGGCCAGAGCCTCACTCCTTGCCTACCACCTGTCCCCCTGCCCTTCACCCACCCCACCAGTGCCACTTGCCTTGTGTGGCATCTCTGGCTCTGGCCCAGTTACTGCAGCTCCATGTCTGGCTCTTATCTCCCTTGCTGCTGCATGGTTTTGCCATGCTCTTTTTCCACTGCTGTGGGCTAGAGTGACTGCTATCTCTGCCACCTGGCCAAGCCAGGGTGACTCATTCAGATCATCCTGTGCCCTTCCCTTTCCCTTGCCCCATCCCTTGACAAGCAACAGAAGCATCTGTGGCTCTAGCCTGGTGCCAGAGGTACAGTAGCCACCTGTCATGGGCCTGTAGTCAAACCTAAAACTAGGCTTTTTCCCTGTGTTCAATGGGGGGGGGCCCTCATCTTGGAATAGAGTAAATATTCAGGGGGTTAAACCTTGTTGTATTCTAGCCTTATTCTTTGCAAGTCCCTTAGCTGATGCTGCTGTAAGATCCACTGAGGACTGAAGGGAATACAAGGTTCCATATCTGTAACCTGGTGGATTTGTCTTGGGCAATGACTAATTGAATCTCAAGAAACAAGGATTTTTGTGGGTGATTTATCTTTTATTGGACCAGCTGTGTGGTTGGAATAGCGCTTAGACAAGTTTTCGGGTATTACTCTTCTTTTGCACCAAATGTCCCTTGTGGAAATTGTGGGTGAAATCAGGCAAAAACTACACAGCAGAATGAATGCTGACAAAAAATGACAGAGGCACTAAAACACAGCTAGGAGAACATGTCACAAATCATTTCCTGTCTGACCTCACAGTTCTTGTGCTCAAGGGAAACTTACAAAAACATTTAAAAGGAGCTTGGGAACAAGCTACAGTTCATTAGCCAAGTAGACACTAAGAGCTAGGGATTTAACATGGACAATGACTTCCTGGCCCATTATAGTTTACTTGATACTAATCTCTTCATTTGCCAGATGATAAGGAACCTTCTGAATGATCTTGCTTTTCCATGTATCAGATTTTAGCTGCATCTGTTGTCTGACTACCTGATTTCTATTTACATGAGTTTTAAACAAGACCTTGTTCTGTCTACTGTTTACCTCTGCTGTGCCTCGTTCTATCCCAGAGACCTGAGGAAGGATACCGTGACGTCCCAAAATCTGTTTGAGGCTGTCCTGTAGAAAGCAGAATAGATTTGCATCTTGTAGAGCAGCCAGAGTAGATGTATATAGCATAAGCATTCATGGGGCTGAAGCTCACTTCATCATGCTATAAAAGAATACAAAAAACTGGGGGTGGAGGAGAGAGAAGGGGGAAGGAGGCAGTGTTGCAAGAGACAAGCGAACAAACATTTAAACCCATAGGAAAAGAGGAGTTGACCAAACTAAACCAGGTAATGAAATAAGAATCCATAGTCCCTGTTTTAAACCATACTTAACATAATCCAGTCCTTGGATGATTTCCTGTTAAACAGTTTCCAGTTCAGATTGGGTTTTTAAAACTTGCTGTCTGAGAACAGCTAACGATGTATTGTCCAGGGAGATTAAAGTGTCCTGCCACAGACTTGCATCACTTCTGCGGTTGAGTGGTATTTATTCATTCTGTCTCATAGGGATTGGCCATTCTGTCCAGTACAGACAGCAGAGGGTCACTAAGCAGGTGAATGGTGTATATGACATTGAGGTTACAAGTGAACAAATCTCAGATGCCATTATCTGTGTTATTTGGTCCAGTGATGATGTGGTCTGTATTGATGTTGGGGCACAGAAGGCATTTGGGTGTATTGCAAAGCCTGGGGCCTCAGTGAGATTGGGAGTTAAGTATGCTGGCTGAGGTTGGGGAGAGGGAGCACTGTCTATAAGCCAGGACTGGTTTGTCTCCTATGACTACTTTAAGCTGGTCATCCTTTTCTAGGAGGCGGTTGGAGGTCATTAATGATGTATCTAAAGCATTCAAGCTATAGGTGAGAGCCAGAGGGACTCCTTTATTATTGTCTTGGGGTTGGTGTCAGCAGGATGCAAGTCTGATTTTGTTGATTTAAGCAGCTACAGTTTTGTGGTTGTATTGTAATTGTAGGGAATCTCTGTTCCAGATCCTTAAGGTGTGTATCCTAGTTGATGGGTTTAGAGCAGATATGATTGTAAAATAGAGCTTGGCTATAGAAAATGGTCTTACCCCAGTCATGCAGCTGGTTCAGTGAAATACCACCTGTTGCATATTTCCTGGACCATTACAACTACAGCATCACTTAAACACTACTAAATTGAATTCAGATACGTTTGACATGCCTACCTGGCCTTGCTTTACTTACTGCTTCACAATCTAAGAATGCATTAAGCTGCTATACTCAGCAGGATGGGAAATTATAAATTCTTGTAAGATTGGTAGTCAGTTTTCAGTTAGATTCTTAAAGATCTGTAAAAACAAAAAAGGTCTCCCCTTTTTCTTTCACTCCCTTTCTTTTCCTCCACTTATTTGTATATTTTTTTTTCATCCCCACTTGTAAGAGATCCCCTTCCAATCTATTAAATACACCACTTGGTGTCCTGGCAGTAGCCCTGAATGAAGGCCGAGTGCTCCTGAGGATGAACTCACTGCAACTGCTAGAGTGAGAACATGGCTTACAGGTTTTTTTCATTTTGAAGGAAAAGCAGAGTGGTTCCAGCCCCATGGTCTCACTGCTTCCTACTAGACATTCATATTATAATCCTTTCTCACCTTTTTATTAAATTGATGCAGGGAAATGTTCATACTTGTAGGAATGTTAGGTTAATGTTTCATGCACATCTGTTAATTTTATGTTTGCATCTTTAGGGAGAGAGGGAATGCTTGTGTTCAGGGGTTTAATTTTTCTTTGCTTATTCTCCAGACCGGGGAGCTGAGGACTAAGATGAGCCAGTCCCATGAAGACAGTTTAACAAGTGTGGCCTGGAATCCAGATGGGAAACGCTTTGTAACAGGAGGACAGCGTGGGCAGTTCTACCAGTGTGTAAGTTCCATCTGTGTCCCCTTCAGAAGACTTGTGTAGTTGCATCTTAAATAGTGAAATATGCCTAAAACTAGTACAACAAGGTTAATAGGTCTATTTCTTTGTAGTATAAAAATACATATACTGAAGGATGAATTAAGTTACCTGTGGAATCTTTTTTTTGGTCTTCCTAATTTGAAGATGGCATAACATGTCATGCTAACACTAAGAGCTTTTTAAATTTTTGTTGATGAACCCAGAGAGATTACTCTGAGAGAACAATATTCTGGATCATACTAAAAAACATTTTATATAGTCTTTCACTTATAAAGTAGAACCTGTATTTTTTTTGTTCATGTGTTTAGCGACCTGCTTAGTTCACAGCAGGTTGTCAAATTAAAGATTTAGCTGTTTGCTGTTGTCTCATTTCAAAGGATGCAGCTTCTCTGATCAGCTGTAGCTTATTGGTCATCTCATCTAACTAATTAGAGAAGTGGCTCCCTTTTGAAATAACAAAAGCTGCAGCAGTCAGCTAGAGTGCCTCAGTGGTCCAGCACAGCTGTTTGCTCTTTGTTCAGTGTACCCAAGTTAATTCATAAACTCCTTTTTTTTTTTTTCACAGGGGGTTAGAAATCATAACCCCACAAAGTAACCAGGTTTTACTGTAGCTGAGAGATTACTGACTACGTAATCTATTTAAGCAGCAGAAGTTGGCTTTCTGTAGAATTAATCTTCGTAGCTTTTCATGCTAAAATGTAAAATATTCTTGGGAGGGGTGGGGAAGAAGGTTAGTTTTATGGATAATTGTTCATGTTAAATGGAAGTCTAGAGCTTTCTTTTAGGTCTGGCTTTTCATTGGTTGTGTCACTGGGTTGGCAATACTGATTTTGAGGGGGGGTGGGGGGGTGTTTGGTGGGGAGAAGTGGAGCAATCCCTCTCTGGGGAAGTGAGCTCTCACAGTTACTGGTGAGCATGAGCCAGAGCATGGATTGTGGTTGGATCAGACTTCTTTTAAAAGGAAACGGGACAGAGGATTCTCAGGCCCCTCTAATATCTATTGGCTCTAATCAAAAACAAAATAATACTCATTTACATGATCACAAGGTATTGTGTGATGCAGGAAAAGTGGTTTTTTGGGGGGGGGTTTGGGATTTTTTTTTCTTTATATGATTGTTAATAAAAGCTGTCAGTGCAACTCTTTGGAAGTGTAACTTTAAGGACTCAATGATTTTTTTCATAATTAGGATTTAGATGGTAATCTCCTTGACTCTTGGGAAGGGGTTAGAGTGCAATGCCTCTGGTGCTTGAGCGATGGGAAGACTGTTCTGGCATCAGACACACACCAGCGGATTCGAGGTTATAATTTTGAGGACCTTACAGACAGGAACATGTAAGTATTCTAGGACAAACTCAGATGTTATAGTGTAACCCTCTACTGAGCAAACAGTTGATATAATATGTAAATGGTTGTTCTGGCATGAGTCGGCAACCTTTTACTAACAGCAGGTTGAATTAATACAACTTGATCCTAAGGCAGGCCACAGGGGGCAGTTAGATAATCTGTCAATAGGTGGCATGTTTTCACACATTTACTAATGGCAGGATGTACTAATGGCATGGTTAGCAGGCCAGATAAAATTTCCTTTGTGGGCTGGATCTGACTGTTGATTACAGACTCTTGACCTACAACATGCAACTTCCTGTAGCCTCTGCAAGTACTAAAATAGAACCAGAGGACTTAATATAGATTCTTTTGCCCATCCACTTTCATGTACAAAAACTATAATAGGCTTTTATTTGTGAAATGGTAATTGGAAGTAATGCAGTAGAAAGCACTTGTCATTGTAGCAGGGTTGCCAACCCAAGACAGACTTCTTTTATTTACTAATGATCTGCAAACTTGTAAATATGTCAATAATGACACTAGTTACAAAATATAAATGTAACCCTTCTGGCAGGCTCCAGGCAAGGGCCAAGTTCAGACCTAGGAGTTTAACACCAGCCATAATAAGTGTTTGGCTGTCAGTAAAATGTTTACAGATTTTTTTTCAGTAAAAGAAAAAAAATGCTTGGAATGGCAACCCTGCTTGACTGTAGCAATGGTCTTATACTGTTTTGCCCCCACACCAGGGGTTCCTAGTCCCCACCATCCCAGCATGGATATTCAAAGGACAACTGTCTACCTACCTGTGACCTAGCAGTGTTACAGGCAGGTGATGGGATACAGCAGCACCTGGCTGGGATTGGGGGAGAGGGAGATATGGAGACTCCCATGAGCTGCAAAACTATGACAGAGCTCCCTTCTCCATGTTGTGCTTCTGCTCAGGCACCAGGTGGTGCTGCTCTGCTGTCTGTGTCAAAACTTGCTCCAGCTTCTTTCTAACTAGAGAGCTTCAGTCAAGCTCCCAGTTGCTTAAGGTTTTTTTTATGGATGGCTTATTTTTTAAACAGTTTTTAACCTTGTGTTGATGGATAGTTGGCAACCCTGCTTTGCAGTTTTCCATTCTTTCTGATGAAATGTCCAAAGTGTGGTAGTGCAGATCTTTTTTTAACAAGCTTACGATGTTTTGTTATATAATTTCAGAGTACAAGAAGATCATCCTATTATGTCATTTACTATTTCAAAAAATGGCCGTCTAGCTTTGTTAAATGTAGCAACTCAGGTGAGTTAATGGAAATGCAAACTAACATTATTTTTATCACACTTCATGTTTAGAAAATATTTGAGCGAAACTTGAGCATTCCTAATAGTGGACAAAGTAGTATTTTACACTTGCTCTGTGGTGTGCATAATTTTGCGGTTTTCCAAAAGGAAGGTGGTTCTTTTTCCTCCATACCCCTTTTAAGAAATCTTTAAACCCAGTGTGATTTTAGAAATACCTTTGACTGTGTAAGTTACAAAACATATATTGGTAAATAATAAACTGTTTTCTGTATTTGGCTTCCCAGCAGTGCATCAGTATCTCAACATGATTTGTGAACCATTGGTATTCCACATCAGCTTTTTTACTTTTTTCAAAATTTCAGTATTTTTGGAAACGACAGTATAAATTGAGGGTTCTAGAAAGAAAGGCACCACAGAATAAAAACTAAGGTATTATTTTAGCACATAGCTATTCAGCTGAACTGTTTTGGGTCTAGTTTCATTGCCTGAGATGACTGAAACACTGTGAGGTTAGAATACTTCAGAGCAAGGTCATGGACATCTTTTTTGATAAAATCTCCAATGTGTTCTTTTGTCTGCCCACAGGGAGTTCACTTATGGGACTTGCAAGACAGAGTTTTAGTGAGAAAGTATCAAGGAGTTACACAAGGTTTTTACACAATTCACTCTTGTTTTGGAGGCCATAATGAAGACTTCATCGCTAGTGGCAGTGAAGGTAATACCAATTTTAACTGCAGTCTATTTTAATAGAATGCACACTTCCTGCTTAAAAGGGGATGTATGCATATTTCTGTAAGCATTTTAATGCTTTTCCTAGCAACTGCCACCTCCTAGAAGGAAATAACTTGTTAACAAGTATTTCTTGATGCTTTTGGTATTTATTTATATACGCATTGTAAGGAACAATGCTACATTAATAGAATGGCCTGTGTGATCTAATGGGCGTCTTGTGTGTCACCCTTTTTAAGGGATTAATACTACCAAGAATCTTGTGAAATTGGATGGTTGGGGGGTGGTATGGTTGGGCTTGGGGGGGGCG